TAATGACATATTTAGCGAGTTAATTAGGTTGTACTAAAAAATATTGTTTACTGTTATGTTTTGAACGATTTAATATTTTATAACAAAATGTACTAAAATGTAGAGAATAAACCAGAGACCAAACATCCAAAGGGATCCATCAACGAAACTGGTTTAAAAAAGTATTTTCCTTAAAAAAATCATAGATTTCTTTTCGCAAGTTTACTACGAAAAGAAGTGGAAACATCAAATTTTGGAAACTTCCCCTCTTATTGGTTCTCAACTCTTTCCATCAAACCCAAATCTTGAATTAAATATATTAATGAAATTTTCAATCATTTTCATAGAGAATTATATAATAAATATCTACCGTTATGATAATACCCCACTATGTCACTAACCCTTTTTAACTTTAAAATTTGAAATAAATTACCAATAAATTGTCAATTACAGACCCCATTAATGATTACGTGCTCACTTCCTTAATACCCAATCATTGGAGAAAACGTGTAATTATTTAGGCATTTAAGCTTAAACTTAACAAGATAGTGGAGTTTAATAGCTGCCCTGCCCGTCCATTGTCGATAATGGAGTTTCACTTGAAAACATTCTGCTTTCTATTTTATTTTATTTATGTGTGTGTTTTTTTTTTTAAAGGTTGGAAGCAAGCATAGGATTCTTTGATTTTGTTTCTATAGATGATTTTGATTTATTCTAAACAGTATATAATTTTGAAAAGTAGTAAAGAATTAAGAGGAAAAAATTTAAAATTTCGTCAATTACGTTGATTAAACTGCTCAAATTTCGCTTGGCGAGCATGTCTCGAGAGAATATCACTCCCAAATGTTGTGGCATCACGATTACTACATGAAAATAGGGCAATATAGCCAAAAAAGGAAATTCCAGTTAAGCTACTTTCACATAAATTTTTTTACAAATTATTTGACTGACGTTGAGGTGACATACATTTTGACCTTTAATTTAAATTTCATTTATTCAAATCAAGTACCAAAATGCACGTCACCATCATCTGTAAAAAAATAATATACAAGTAAATTAATTCAAAATTTTCTCGTGAAAACTCGCTAAAGATAAATGAGATAATGATAGTTTTTGTGAAGTAGTTAGCATACGTGTACATTTGGCAATATGAAACACGAGTTTTACAGTAACGAGGAATAGATAGTTTAACGCTACATTGGAGTTCGAAAAATAGTACTGATGTAATATTTTTGTTTTCTTAAATAGTACTCACAATTCTAATGCTCGAGCGGTTGTACTTTCCGAAAATTTAGATTTAGCATTTTGTTAAAACCAGATACAAACAAATAGCTGACTATATTAACTTGAATTTTGCTCCTTTGCCAGAAAAGGGTTGCCCCCTTGGGTGACCGACCCTCACAAAGAAGGTGGGACCGACGTGGGGCCCGGGCAAATAAAAAATGAAAAAAAAAGTCCCCCTCCCCCCCATGTGNGACTTATTACCTAAATAGCAAGTTGGTCTTTAACCTTGTGTTATAGTCAAACGAAGGCCCACGGGTCGTGAACTTCTTTTCCCGGAGAAGAAGCAATGACGGTATCTGGGGAATAAGCATCCAATGACGAAAATTATCGAAATCTTTGTCATACTATCAAGCGGTCCTTATGAAGACTTATTTTACTTAATATTTCTAAGCACTTGTCCGACTAGCAGAGCGAAGTAACAATTCAAAATGAAATTTTGATACTTTTCCTCAGTATGAATTTGTGTAATTATAATGAAAGTTGAAAACCAAATATTATATGTTAAATAATAGGGACCAGTTTGCTTGATTTTAAAAATTGGAGAACAACTTGCACCGGAGCAATAAGTTTGGGACCAATGGTGCAATTTTCACTGACAGAAATAAATTTTCCCATTTAAGCAACCTTGAGAGATACTTTTTTTTTCACTCGTCACACTAATGACATATTTAGCGAGTTAATTAGGTTGTACTAAAAAATATTGTTTACTGTTATGTTTTGAACGATTTAATATTTTATAACAAAATGTACTAAAATGTAGAGAATAAACCAGAGACCAAACATCCAAAGGGATCCATCAACGAAACTGGTTTAAAAAAGTATTTTCCTTAAAAAAATCATAGATTTCTTTTCGCAAGTTTACTACGAAAAGAAGTGGAAACATCAAATTTTGGAAACTTCCCCTCTTATTGGTTCTCAACTCTTTCCATCAAACCCAAATCTTGAATTAAATATATTAATGAAATTTTCAATCATTTTCATAGAGAATTATATAATAAATATCTACCGTTATGATAATACCCCACTATGTCACTAACCCTTTTTAACTTTAAAATTTGAAATAAATTACCAATAAATTGTCAATTACAGACCCCATTAATGATTACGTGCTCACTTCCTTAATACCCAATCATTGGAGAAAACGTGTAATTATTTAGGCATTTAAGCTTAAACTTAACAAGATAGTGGAGTTTAATAGCTGCCCTGCCCGTCCATTGTCGATAATGGAGTTTCACTTGAAAACATTCTGCTTTCTATTTTATTTTATTTATGTGTGTGTTTTTTTTTTTAAAGGTTGGAAGCAAGCATAGGATTCTTTGATTTTGTTTCTATAGATGATTTTGATTTATTCTAAACAGTATATAATTTTGAAAAGTAGTAAAGAATTAAGAGGAAAAAATTTAAAATTTCGTCAATTACGTTGATTAAACTGCTCAAATTTCGCTTGGCGAGCATGTCTCGAGAGAATATCACTCCCAAATGTTGTGGCATCACGATTACTACATGAAAATAGGGCAATATAGCCAAAAAAGGAAATTCCAGTTAAGCTACTTTCACATAAATTTTTTTACAAATTATTTGACTGACGTTGAGGTGACATACATTTTGACCTTTAATTTAAATTTCATTTATTCAAATCAAGTACCAAAATGCACGTCACCATCATCTGTAAAAAAATAATATACAAGTAAATTAATTCAAAATTTTCTCGTGAAAACTCGCTAAAGATAAATGAGATAATGATAGTTTTTGTGAAGTAGTTAGCATACGTGTACATTTGGCAATATGAAACACGAGTTTTACAGTAACGAGGAATAGATAGTTTAACGCTACATTGGAGTTCGAAAAATAGTACTGATGTAATATTTTTGTTTTCTTAAATAGTACTCACAATTCTAATGCTCGAGCGGTTGTACTTTCCGAAAATTTAGATTTAGCATTTTGTTAAAACCAGATACAAACAAATAGCTGACTATATTAACTTGAATTTTGCTCCTTTGCCAGAAAAGGGTTGCCCCCTTGGGTGACCGACCCTCACAAAGAAGGTGGGACCGACGTGGGGCCCGGGCAAATAAAAAATGAAAAAAAAAGTCCCCCTCCCCCCCATGTGAGTAATCTGTCAGGGGGGGTGTCACTCCCCCCCTGGCAATGTAGCATTGTTCTATTAACTTAGGAAGAACATATTTGGAAGGTTTGTTTCATTACATTAATAATTTTTTCCTTTTGTTTTCAATCACATATTTACCATCACATCACAAAAAAATGCATTCTTTCTATTTTAACGTGGATCATACACACTTTATTAAAAGTTCATAAAATGCTAGCAAATAATCTTTTTTTTTTTTTTGAGCCCATATTTGCATTATTGAAAATTAATGAGTAGAGAAGTTTTAAATAGAAGATCGTCCGAGGTCTCGAAAAGGCAAACTCTTCGGTATGCTTAAATTTTTCCAAAATTAGCAATATTTTCATTAATAAACAAACACGTAAAAGTAAATGAGAATACAGTTAATTCGAATTTGAAATTCACAATATATTTTGTTGGTTAGAACTTAGAGAATGATGAATCTTGAGAATGAGAAATTTTATAATCCGAGAATTAGTCCGTATTTTACTAATGTTTATAAATTATTTATAATTAATAAAAATTAATTTTTATAGAATTCACAAGTTCTATCAACTTATCCATTATTCATTTATAATTTTTTATAATTTAAACGGTGCATACTGAATGAAGGGCTTTTAACTTTTTTTCTAAACGGCTTTTAACCTTTCACTTATTTGAAATTGACCTCTTTTACTATTTTCATATTCATATTACGTGTTCTTTATGCTATCATTTTCCTTCCGATATCATTATTTTGTTTTTCGTAATTAGGAAAGTTGGATAAGATAATACTGATCGATCCAATCTAGTTCGTGCAAAAAAGACGAAAAATAGATCATTTTGATCATTTATGCTCGTCCATTGTCCAACAAAAAGGTCTATTTTTGTATATATCAGATTATAGAAATAAAGAATGATTGTAGATTCAAACACGAGTTAACAAGAGAATACAGTACTATGGAGGGTATAGAGTAACAATTGCATGACATGGTTGTATTTGTATGTATGTATTATATGGAAATGAAGAAAAATGAGTGGTAATGATTACAAATGGGATCATGGTGGCAACAAATAAATGAAAATAAATAATTTTTTACAAAGAGAAACTGCGCAGCCACAGCCGCCATTTCTTCTTCAACCTTTTTGTGATGATTAATAATAATTAATTATTATTATCACTTCGTCAGTAACGGGGGTGGAGAGAGAGACGAAGAGACATGGAAAAGAATAGACAGAGACTCACAAATAAACTAAATAAAAAATAATCTCCTTTTTTTTTTACATGAAATTAAAAAAATATAGAGAGAGAAAGAGAAACTCCCCAAAATCACGTATAAAAGGATGCAAATGTGATTCTATTTTGTATGTAGTCGAAAAAGAAAGAGCCCATTTTTGTAATTTTATTTTCTTGAGCTGTGCCTGTTTCTTCTGCTCATTTGCTCTTTTCCCTGATTTTGAAATAAGATTTTCTGGTTCACTTTTCTAACTTGAAATACACGGTATTATAGAGGCCTATATTTTCGCGGCCTTGACAAAGCTGTGATTGTTAGCCTCAACCCACCTAGATAAATCCTCTCTCATCTTCTTCAATTTACAGCCGAGTTCAATATTTTTTTTATCAGCTATAAAAATGGTGGAGGCCGGTGGTGTAGTGGTGGTGGTGAGAGAATTTGATGCTCAAAAAGACATTATAGAAGTGGAACAAGTGGAGAGAGAGTGTGAGGTTGGTCCCAGTGGAAAGCTCTCACTCTTCACTGATCTCATGGGTGACCCCATTTGCAGGGTCCGCCATTCGCCTGCTCATCTCATGCTGGTAAAAATCACGTTTCATTATTTTCTGCTAAAGCTTTTTTCTTCTTTTTCGACTTATGATGATCGCTTTTTTTTTCCTTTCAGGTGGCGGAGATGGTGGTGAGCCACGGCGGAGCAGAGATGGAGGAAAGGAGAGAAATTGTTGGGATGATAAGGGGTTGCATCAAAACCGTTACGTGTGGAAAGAAACTCTCGAGAAATAGCAAAACCTCCCCCATTAAACCTCCTCAAACTCTCCCTGTCTACACCAAACTTGCCTATATTTTAGGCCTTCGTGTGTCTCCTTCCCATCGGTACACACTTTTTAGTTCCAGTCTTTATTACATAACCCCAAGAGGACCAAAACTCAAATTTTTTTTTTCCAAAAATGGATTCTTTAGTAGATCCTTTTGGTAGACCACCTAATTATTGCACCACAGATTTTTTTAATTATTTGTTAGTTCACACTATATAATATAATAAATTAAAGTTTCAACTTTCGGTTTCATCTCTCTTGTAACTTATTCTTTAAATTTGACTTTTTACAGAAGAATGGGAATTGGATTGAAACTGGTGAAAAGAATGGAGGAATGGTTTGGAGAAAATGGAGCTGAATATTCGTATATAGCTACGGAAAAAGATAATGAAGCATCTGTTAAGCTTTTCACACAGAAATGTGGCTATTCAGAGTTCCGTACGCCGTCGATTTTAGTTCAGCCGGTGTTCGCCCACCGGGTTAGGCTCGACCGCCGAATAACCATCATCAAACTCAACCCCTCTGACGCGGAGGCGCTCTACCGGTGCCGCTTCTCCACGACGGAATTCTTCCCCCGTGACATTGACTCCGTTTTGAACAATAAGCTCAATTTGGGAACTTATCTTGCGGTGCCAAAAGGGACCTACGACGCCGAGTCGTGGAGGGGTTTGGATGAGTTTATGGCGAGTCCGACGGGATCATGGGCCGTTCTCAGTGTGTGGAACTGCAAGGACGTGTTCAAACTCGAGGTAAGAGGTGCGTCGCGTGTGAGGAAAGTGTTTTGTAAAACAACTCGGGTAGTGGATCGGGCCTTACCCTGGCTTCAACTCCCGTCGGTGCCGGAAGTTTTCAGGCCTTTTGGGTTTCATTTTTTGTACGGGCTTGGTGGCGACGGCCCAAATGCAGTGAAGTTCATTAAGGCCCTATGTGGATTCGCCCATAACCTGGCTAAAGAGCGTGGGTGCGGAGTGGTGGCAACAGAGGTTTCAAGTCGCGAACCGCTCAGGTTAGGTGTACCCTACTGGAAGAGCCTATCCTGCGCTGAGGACCAATGGTGCATTAAACGGTTAGGGGAAGACTACAGTGACGGGTCCGTCGGTGATTGGGCCAAGTCACCACCTGGTCTATCCGTTTTTGTTGATCCTAGAGAATTCTAACCAAGAATCCTAATTTAGTAGTAGTTAGAAAAAGCACTTTTTTACCACTTAATCTAAGTCAGTTTTAGCTTATTTCTTAGAGCGGGGTTATTAGTAGTGCGGGAAAAACTAGAAGGAATGAGAAGATATGGATCATCTTTTGTTGTTTAGTTGTTGTTGTAAAGGGTATATCCCTCTCCTTTGCTTTTTGTAAATGGATTTGGCTTTTTAGATACTCTTTGAGCCAAACAAACCCTTATTTTTAATTGTTAATTTGGGGTTTTTCCTTTTTCATATATAACTAATGGCTTATTAAAACCGGCGGAGCCAAGGGGGTGCCTGGCCCCTCCTCCCATTTTTGACCAAATTTTTTTTTTAATTTTTTTAATTTTTTTTTAATTACCATTTTCAACTCATTTTTCACATTGAAAACATTGGAATTTGGATATGGCTATTTCTAGAAAAATTGTAGCCCTTCGAGTTAGCTTTCCAACGGAATATGAATCATCACAATCGGATATAGGTAAAGAAAGTTATGATGAAAATATTGACTACTGATAAACCATCGCTCGACTTTCGCTAGAGACTCGCTCGAGCGACCAATGCAGTAACTTTTCGCCCCAGTTTCGCCCAATTATAATGTAGTTATATAACGTTATCAAAGTATGATTTTGCTAAATTAAAGATTAGTACTTTCTTTTATACATTTCTTGATTTTTTTGTTAATAATGTATCCAAAAAAAATTTCTGGGGAACCCCCGTGGGCCCCCACCACTTCACCTCTCTACCTCTAGGCCCCCCTACGTTCAAAGTCTGGCTCCGCCCCTGCTTATACATGAGGACCACCACCTTCTAAGTTGAAGTATTTCTCAATGATCGATAGTGTATCGCGAGGTCCTACGCGTGATATGAAGCCAAAAGAAAGGAATTTAAATAGCAATCATGTTTGGTGTATAATCATTGTTGACAACATGTCAATCGACGTTCACTCGTTGAACATTTTTTACATCCACTTGTTTTTGCTGCCATTAGTTTTTTGACGATAAATAACGTTGTCATTCAATTTGTCATCCAAATTGTATAAATATATTAGTTTTTTAAATAATGTGTTTGAAGGGATGGATATATATTTCCTGTCTGCGGAGAATTAAAATCAGATTTTTAGTTGATTTTGATAAAAATTAATAAAATGTGTAGTTGAAAAATTGTGGATCTCATAGAATATATTGTTGAATTTGATTTAGATTAAAATCATTACTGATAGGTGGCATAAATGCGAAAAGTTGTGAAACCATGGGCTATGAGAAATTGTAAAGGGATCCTAGAGTAGATGGACTTCACAGGAGGAATGTGAAACTCTTGGCTATATGATTGTAATGGGTTACTTTTTGTTTGATTATGTTTGGATAAGATGCTTGTAGTCTTATTAATGGAATATTGGATATTGCTGACAAAATACAACATTTATTGTACGATCGATATCTTTGGGATCTGAATATGTTGGGTTCGTTACTTCTTTTTATTTGATGCCTCAAGGGCTTGGAGCACATCTTTTTTGTACTTTTCAATACTTTAATTGTTACGATTAGAAAGAAACAAATTACTGAATTTTTTTGATAAGGTAAATTGAAACATAATGATTTATTGCAATTAAATCAGATGATTTTCTTGGTACAATCTAAGGCCCTATTTAAACCAAATTATTGTAGAATGAGAATGAAAAGGAAAGGAGTGTGGTAGTTTCAGTTGAGTTGGTAGCCGCAGTGTGAGGGTTCGATTCCTGCCTCTTACAAGATATAGAATTTGACTCCTTGTGGGCACTAGTATGACAGCTCTTGTACCCCGACTTGCTGAGCACATCCCTCGATTTACCTCCTCCACAATACTCCAGGGCGGGACGGGACCCTCAAGGTTGGAGTTCAACCTTAATAAAATAATATTATACATATACCCAAAAATTTTCCTTACTTTTTAAACACACATTATTCCATCAATCATTATTCCAAATCAAATTCTTCTCTAAAATGGGTGTCAAACAAGGGCACTTAAAAACACTTTATTTAGCTTAATGGGCATACTTGATCATACTCTTCTTGATTAAGTCATGCTTATTTAGTTCACATTATAATAGATCTCGGTGTACGATAACGACAAAAGTGATAAGGGATATTCAACAAATTTTTACTGATATGTTAATTTTTCTACAGGCAAGTGTATCTACGTATGCAAACTACAGGAGGGATAATTGTTACAAATTTCACATGTAGCACGTAGTATATCTCAATTTTGTTTAACGGAGAGTCAAATTGTCCGCGATTCAAAATAATATTTATATTGTATATACTACATAATTTTAGCTTCATATCCTTTTTAATTCAATATAAAAAACACAAGTACAATTTATTTGTATAAGACATGCAATATACTAAACATATGAAATGTTTGCACATTTTTGTATCTAATCTTGCATACAAGACTACTAGAAGTTAATTATATTAAAAAATGGGTACATGGAAATGACTTGAACATTAAGTTCAGATTCCATCAATGGGCATACTTGGTCATACTCTTCTTGATCAAGTCATGCTTATTTAGCTCAGGTCATAATAGAACTCGGTGTATGATAATCACAGATTCAACGAACTTTCACTAACATATTAATTTCACAACATATTAGTGTATTGACGTGTACGAACTGCAAAAAGGAATAACTACTAACAAATTTCACATGCACCACGTGGTATATATCAAATATGTTTAACTAAAAATTTTAAATTATCCATGATTTAAAATTTTATGTATATACTACATAATTTTGGCAAAAAATCATTTTCAAACCCAATAAATGAAAACATAAAGAATAATTTTTCTTTCTTATTGATATAAAACGTGCAACATACGTGCAACAAAACTAATGATATGAAATGTTTGTATGTTTTTGAACATTTGTTGGACATTCTTGATTATAATCTTCTTGATTAAGTAATGCTTATTCAACTCACTTCATAATATAATTCGGTGTATGATAGCGATAAAAGTGATGGTGGAGATTCAACAAACTTTTACTAACATGTTAATTTCTCAACAGACACGTATATTAACGCGTACAAAATACAAATGGGATAATTCGTTACAAACTTGTATAATAATTACTTATTTTCTTAAATCAAGGAAATTTGTCAAGTTCAGTTGAAGGATTTTCTTGTAATTAGAATAAGTGAGATATATAGGGATAGAAAGTGAGTTTGGATCATGCCTTATGCGAGGGGTTTTCACCTGCTAATATGATACACAATTGGGGTGAAAAGTGATGGTTGAAGAGACAAATAAATGTGAATGCTAACTGGCTTCAGTTCAGTTTGTACAACGATTTTTCTCGTCCCGACAGCCTCAGTGGTATACTAGCCTGTGTGGAGCTCCACCACAATCCTAAAATGCTACCACGTCAGCTTCTACTCACTTGCCGGGTCCTTCCTTCAAATTACATTTTAGTTCCTGTTTGTTCCTAATTTTTTAAAATTTTAATGTGGCTCAAACATTGATAAGTTTTGTGTAATTTGAGCCCCGTGGCAGCTAAAAGATAGGTTTAGGTAAGTTCTGACATTGTTATTGATCATGCATCATCCCAAGGCTGGCCTATTCAAAGTTAACTGACGTAAATTAGGCTGGAAATTAGTGTCCCAGGATTATTTCTATTGAAAAAAGAGAGAATTCTAACAAAATAATGATGTTTGACAAGTTTGGCGAGACAAATGTTTCAAAATTTTAATTTATGCATTGATCACGTGCTATTTACTGAACTATGAAATGTTTTCAAAATGCTCACTCAACTAGTCCCGTTTGCTTTGCATCCATCACTCCGAAAAATTTGTTAATTTTTTTGCTGACTTGGAGGATGAAATTCTTACGTGATGTCTAACGACGTGACACTCCTATGTTGTGAAAAAGATGACAATAAAAGTAAAAGATAAATACACGGATTTGCAGNAAAGTATAAGATATTTACACGGATTTGCAGAGTAATTTTTATTTCTTGAGGAATCACATTACAGTAGTTGGGCGACTACTATTTAGCTTACAAGCCATATGTCATTAAATAACATATATATAGTCAGAAGAAGAAAAAACCCTAATACAATGGAAATACCCAACTCAACATCCTAATCACAATTAAAAATTATTTTTAATCTTTTAAAAAAAAGTAAAATTCGAAACCGTGTATATGGACTCGATTTTGAATTAGCAAAACACATTTATAATTAAAAAATGAAACATTAAAAGGGTATGAGCACATAACGTCCATACCTTTCATTATTATTGTAGAAAACGTTCGTACCTTTCATTTTTTTGGCATTTTCATCCTTATTTCCATATTTTATTGCGCAAAATGTCATTTTTACATATTTTTCCAATTAAAAATTATGAAATGACGAATATACATTTCTCTTTAAATAAAACAAAAAAGAAAAAGAAAAAAACTAATTGTAATCACAGTTCCATTTTTTTAAAAAGCACAAATAAGTCACAAATAAATTATTAAAAGGGTAATTAGCACATAATGTCCTTATCTTTCACTATTATTACAAAAAACGTCCATACCTTTTATTTTTTGGCATTTTCATCCTTAATTACCCATTTAATTGCGCAAACCATGATTTCTATCCAATTTCTCAATAAAAAGTTGTGAAATGATGATTATACCCTCCTATTTAAATAAAAAGCTAAAGAATTAATTGCAATCATAGTCCGATTTTTTTCAAAGCCCAAATAAGTCCCCAATAAATTATTTAAAAAATATATATATTTAAAAAAAGTGCAAACGAGTCCCAATTAATTTTTTTTTAAAAATTTAAAAAATTAAAAGTGCAAATGAGTCCTAAATAATATTAAATAATTAGAGATTAAAAATATATTTTTTTTATATAAATAGGAGGATATATTCATTATTTCACAATTCTTTATTGAAAATTTGGATGAAAATAGATGGAAACGAGGGTTTGCACAATTAAATGTGTAATTAA